TAACAAGTGCTCTGAGTAAACAGTGCCTGGCTGTACTAATGAACTGTCGTCACTGACGTCCTGTTAATGGTTCTGGGGGGAGGAGAAGAGGTGCCTGGGGTTTGTGGATCTGTCAGGTCAGGTTTGTGTCCTGAATGGCCGGGAGGTTCTGTACCACGGGACATGAAAGCAGTTCAGGGTGTTCTGTGCCCCTGGGGTCTGTGATTTCTCTCTCTGGGGTGCTGTGGGTGCTGAGCAGCCATTTCTGCTGCCCTCTGCTTATTTGAAGAGCTGGGCTCTGTGGATTCCAGAGGCAGTGGATTTCTCCAAGTCCTTCAAGCCTGTGCAGGGCCAGGAGTTGGGGCCGATGATCCTCGCGGGTCCCTTCCAACTCCGGAGGTTCTGTGATCTCGGAAGGGCAAGAAGTGGTGAAGGTGCAGCAGCAGAGTGATGCAGTGGGATCTGTTCTCATCCTCCCAGGTACTGGAAGCTGGATCCCAACAAAGTCTACGCCACTGGTCCCAACGCCTGGGACACGGCCGTGCACGACGCCTCGGAGGAGTACAAGCACCGCATGGTACGGCTCCAGTCTGGGGGGGGAAAATCCCTGGAGGTTGGAGAGATACTGGGGATACCCCGTCCCTGGAGGTGTTCCAGGCCAGGCAGGAGGTGGAACTGGATAATCTTTAAGGTCCTTTCCAACCCAAACCATTCTGGGATTCTGTGATTTTGTATCTCCCCAGCGGTTTGGAGGGTGCACCAGGTCTGGGTCGGGAACAGGATGTCTAATCCCTTTTTTTTTTTCCATTCCAGCACAACCTTTGCTGTGATAACTGCCATTCCCACGTGGCCCTGGCCTTAAACTTGATGAGGTATGATAACAGCACCTCCTGGAACATGGTGAAACTCTGCTTCTTCACACTCCTGTATGGGAAATACGTCAGGTGAGCCGAGGGACAGTCTGGACTCAGCTCTTTCATTCTCCTGAGCCCTCTAAAGCATCCATTTGTCCTGTGGAAAAGGGAGAAACATCTCCCCCCCCTCCCAACCCGTGGGTGTGTTGCTGGTGGGTGGCACCATCACTGCCTGTTCTTAGATTCAGGAGTGTTTGCTGGTTTGCACTAGATGCTGCTCCCAAAATACTCTTTCTGGCTGCTAATTTGGAGCGCCTGGAATTTGGGAAATGCTAGCTAAGGCAAATCTCACTCTGTGTTGTCTTCTGGCTGGGTTAGGTCAGAACATAAGGTCACAGGATGGCTTGTCTCCAAGGATTACTGGTTTCTCTTCCCTCTCTTGAATCTTGTTTACATAAAAACTAGTTGGATTTCCAGCAGCTGTGGAGCTTCCAACTGGGGTGGAGAGGGAAAGCCCGAGCTTTCCTTAAGGAAAGGGCACTGAATCTCCATTCCAGCTCATTGTGCCTGAAAAAGAGGTTCTGCAGGGACTGCCCTGCATAAAGCTCCACTTCTGTGGGTTCTTCCCTGTTCTGGAAAAGCTTCTTTACCAGCTTTTGGACCAGTGTAGCTCCTGCTCTCTTGGTTAAATCCACCAGCACTCAGAACAGCGATGTCTGTGGTAATGAGGTTTCATTTTTTGTGGTCTGTCACCATTCCTGTCTGTGCAGGTATTAAATATGTCAGTCTCTGACTTAATTTAAGCTGGGAGGAGATTCCAGCCCTGTTTTTGTGATATTTTTGTTGTGGACCTGACTTAGTCCCAGTTTTTACACTGTGTCTCCAGCATGATGGGACGTGTGGCAGTGCCAGCAGTGGATGACAGAGTCAGGAAAGCGTCTGTCTCCCTCTGATTGCTCCAGTTATCCCCCCATCCTTTTGTCTCTGCTGGTTTCCCACGTCTGAACCTTCCCCCTGTCTCCCTCTTGCAGCATAGGGGGGTTTGTGAAGACCTGGCTGCCCTTTATCCTGTTCCTGGGGGTGATTGTGACCGTTGTTCTCACCCTGCACCTGCGGTGATGGCAGCTCTGAACCCCCCAATCCCTGAGCACACGAAGGAAGAAACTGTGACTGATCCAGCAGGATGGAGGTTTGGGACTCTGGGAGCCGTTTTCCAGGGAAGGTGGTGACCCCACTCCATTGTAACAGCTCATCTTTGTTTCCTGGAACTGCCTTCTTTTCCTCCTGTTTTTGTTCTGTCGATGGTGTCTCCCAGTGTCAGGGGTCTGGAAGCTCCTGCTCTCCCCCTGCCTGCAGCTGGGGAGGTGGGAATGGGATCAAGAAAGGGAAGGGTTGGGCACCTTTGCTTTCAGTGCCAAGAAAAGCCACGAGGCAAACCTTGCCTCCTCCAGGAGCACAAGCACATCCACCTTTTAAGGTTCTCTCTGATCACCTGCTTTCATCCTCTTGGCAGATTCCACCAGGTGCTCCCTCGGATTCCCTGAGTCTCCAGTTAGGAGTTGTTTTCCCTGTTGCACGTCCCTCCAGTAGCACACATTCCAAGTGGAGGTGTGGGGTTCTTCCCGGGGGGATGGGGTGCCCCAGCACTCACTGTCTCCCTCCCTGGCAGTGGCAGGAAGGTGTTGAGGTGGGACACTCCTGAGGGACGCTCCGTGGCAGGGCCAGCTCCCCTGGTCCCGCTGGTGAGCCTGGAAAGGCAGGAAAGTCGATGGGCTGGCTTGGGAATGGCTCATGGCAGTCTGCACCCCTTCAGGAGCCTGGTGCAGCGCTGGGAATCAGCTGCTCGGGCCCTTTCAGCTTGTGCCAGAGAAAATAGCGCTTCCCTGCTTCTCCCTGTGCTCTGAATAGCTAAATCTGTCCTTGCACTCCTCACAAGCCTCTCGTTTTCCTTTGATCCCTGTCCTTTGTGTCTCCCAGGCGACGGCAGGGACGTGTTTCTGGGGCAGAGGGCTGAGCGTGGGGTCTGGAGGCCTCTGTGAGAGCAGCACCTGAGCTTAAGAGGGGCCACCAGAGATGAGAAGAGGAGGTGAAGGGACTGGGAGATGCCCATCCTCTGGCTGGGCTTTGCAGCAGCAAACTGGGACACTGGCTTTTCTCCCTGGGCGGTGGTTCAGGGCTGGTTCAGCACCTTTGGGGTGCTTTGGAGGGCACACCTGGGGTACAGCTTTGCAGGGCTGGGTTTGGTGTGAGGCAGGCAGTGGTGGGGGCTGATGGCCCTGTTGAGCCCTGGGAGGGGCAGGATGGGCTGTAGGGGGTGAGGTGGCTCCTGAGTGCCAGGCAGGAAGGCAGTTTGGGTGTGACCCAGAGCCCCTTCCACGTCAGGGTCTGTGTCTGCCGAGGCTCTGCCCTGCAGGTGCTGGTTTTGGAGGGCCCTGAGCCAGGTGGGTTCTTAAAAAACAAGCCTGGCTGAAGGCTTATGTGCAGTTAAGCAGATCCCTGCTGACTGCAGAGGGAGGAGAAGAGCTTTTTCCAGTCGGAAAACCAGCTCGTTACCTTGCTGCCTGATGGATTTCAAGCTCAAGGAGTGCCTGTGGCCAGCAGGGAAGCTTTCCTGGACTCCCTGCAGTCTCTGACTGGGGAGCCCAGTCACTGCCACCCCCCTGGCTCTCAGACCCCTCCCCATGTGCCTCCCTGCCCTCTCCCACCTCCCTGATTCCTCCAGCCATATGGGAGGGTTGGAGCCTCCTCTTGGGCTCGTTTTTGTGTTTCCTTTTCCTCAGTCACCTAAATTGCCCCTTAAGCCTCTCCCTTCTCCTTCATGGTCTCTCTCTCTCGCCCTGTGCTGGCTTTCCTGGGGTGGGTGCCGACCTTGGCACCCTTCCCCATCTGTCTGGAGCTCCAACATGCCAGTGTCTGCTCTGTGCAGTCCTTCCCCTCCTGTGTGGGGAGCGTGGGATGGAGGGTGCTGGGCCTGGGGCTGCTCAGAAAGCCAAGATCCCGATCAGAGAGAACCTTAGGATGAAAGGATGGTGTGTTCCGGAGCTCCCCTGCCTTTCCACCCGGTAGCCACAGGCCAGCGTGCCCCGGGGGGGGGGTTGGGAGAGAGGAATCCTTTCCCTCTGTGTTTATTTAAAGTGTGATTCCTTGGAGTGACCGGCCCTGGGGCTGGAGCTGACCCGTCCTACGCAGCAGCAATAACCTCGAGCCCCCTGGGCCCGGCCCGCCCGTGTTTTACCCATGAGCTCCACAAGAATTGCCAAAGCTGAGACTTGGGGGTGTCCAGCAGCCCCGCTCCTGGGACTCCCCAAACCCCACTGTGAGACCCCCTCTCGTTTGCTCCCGATGCTTTTTAACCCCAGGGGGGTTTGGAACGGCGAGGGTGAGCCCCCCCCCTGTCCCTCACGTCCTTTGTTCCCTTCATCTCTGCGGGGCGCTGGATTTCTTTGTAAATATTTAAACTCTGCTTCTGTGGTTTCGTAATCCCGATGGCAGGGAAATAAACTGATTTCTGTGGATGTCTCCAAGTGCTGCATCTCTTCTTGTCCAGGCTCTTCCCTCCTCCCAGCCCGCAGCGGGGTTGGGATCCCCCCTGCCCCGCTGACCCCTGGCCTCTCTCCTGCCCACAGGAGCTGGATCCTGGAGCTCATAATCCTTTTACTTTATGAACTTGCCCATTTCCCTCCTCCAGGGAAAACTCACAGCCCTGCTGTTGGGAAGGAGGTTTGGGAGGCAGAAGGATCCCCATCCCTGCAGTGCAGGAAGGGTTTGTGGGGTTTGGTGCCAGGTCTCATGCCTGGGCAGGGGAAACCAAGTGTTCTGGGATGTAAGATTCATTTTCCAAGGTTTTCCTTCAGCTGTGGACAGTTTGCCTTTTGTCTCTCCCATCTTATTTTCCTGGAGATGCTGCATTCCCAGCTCCTTTCCCTTTCCAGTCTGGAGCCCTCCATGCTCCCAGGGGGAGGGGATGCCTGTGCTGGCCCCGGGGCTGCCAGAAGCAGAGTGGAATGGGAAGACCTGGACTCGTTTTCCCCCTCCCAGCAGGATCTGCTGCCTGAGCTGGGAGCAGGGGAAGCTGTGCCTGCTGACTGCCACCGATTTTGTGTTCCATCTGATATCCAGAGGCTGGAGCTGTGTGTGTGGGGAGCAGATCAGCCTTAAAATTGGGTTGTGTCCGAGGCTGAGGGGTTTCACAGTGCATCCATCTTATGGAACACCACCTGGATCCTCCGGCTCAGCCCCTCCAGCCAGACCTCAGCTCCTGCGGGGTGGCAGCTCCGAGGGGTTTATCCCACACACATCTGTCGCTGGAGGATGAGGTGAGGATGCCAAATCCCCCCAGGGCCACAGGGGTCCCTCCTCGCCTCTCCAACCTGGCAGGATTTTCCTAACCCACTCCTGCTGCCTGGGAGCTGCAGGGAATCTGGCGTGGGATGTGTGGGAGCTGAGCCACGTGGTTCAGGTCATGGGATGTGGGGATTATATGGAAGCAGCTGGGTTGTTGTTCCCAGGTAGTGCCACTCAGATGCCTGGGATGCTCCCAGCTCTCTGCCCAGGCTGGTGTGCAAGCCCTGCTTCCCTCATTTTCCTCTCCGAGCCCCCAGTGGCCAGCCCAGCCCCGGGGAGCGAGGAATGCTGTGAAGCAGAATGTCAGGATCCATCCCAGCTGCCACGTGGCCTCAGCCATCATCCCCGAGTGACCCCTCTGCCTCTGCCCCTCTGCCCTCGGCCGCAGTGGCTGAGCATGACCAATCCCCCCGGCACCACGGTGGGGAGCAGGGCTGAGGGTCCCCGACCTCCCTCCCCGCAGGGATCCAGGAATGCCACAGCCCCGGAGCCGCCTTTGATGTGGGATCACTTTGCCTCAGCTGCCGGAGGGGAGGGGGCCCGGGGGTCACCCGTTTTGGGGGGGATGGGGCATCAAAGGGCTCCCCGAGGAGCAATCTCACGTTGCACTTTGGCAGCTGCACACGGGGAGCTCTGGAAGCCACCGGGGGCTGTGGATCCCTCCTCATCCTCACCCTGTCGTCCCTGATGGTTCCCAGGCAGGGGAGGGGAAAGGGAGTGCAAGACCCAGCACTGGGGGGTCTTCATGCTGGTGGCTTCCCAGAGGCAGTGTCATTCCCAGCTGGAGCCCCAGCTGGAAATGCCTCGAGGTCCCTGCTGTGTTGGGAGGGGGGTTGAAATTAAAAATTTGGAGGGGGTGAAAGCGAGGGGCCCCTCCAGCCTGGGGGAGTTGGGATCTGTCACCATGGGAGCTGGGGTCTGTCCTTGTTGAGCTGGGATTGTCCCAGTGGGAGGTGTGGGTCCATCCCTGTGGGAGCTGGTGTCCACCCCTGCGTGTCCAGGGAGGGCTTGAGTGGCACATCAAAGGCTCTGGGAGGGCAAAGGGCACAGGAGCCGAGATCCCATCGGGGGAATGGGGCCAGGTGACCCCATTGTTCGGGGGGACATGTGGCAGTGTCAAAGCCCAGGTGCTGCCCCACTCCTCCCACCAAACCCTCTGGGGGGTCTCTGCCGATGCTCCAGCACATGTTCCTGCCTCAGCTTCCTCCCAGGAAGAACCAGACTCTCCTGCAGCTCCCAGACCTGAGGAACGAGTCCTGGAGGGGGAACAGGGCTGGGAGCAGGACGGGACTTGCTCCTTGTCAGTGCTGGCTCGGGGCTGCCCACACAGGGCAGAAATGAGGCAGAACCTGTTCTGCTCATCCACTGGGACACTGCCAGCACCCAGCACCTGGCACTCATCGCCCAGGAGCAGGGTTTGCTCCTCAGAGGCTGCTCCAGGAGGTGGCTGGAAGGAAAACCACCCCCGAGGGCTGGCCCAGCCCCTGGGTCACCGTGTGCTGGTGGCCGGGGTGTTCCTGGGTGTCACTGGGGTGCTCTGGGCTGACACAGCCCCTGGTCCTGCCACCCGAGGCACCAGCTGTGACTGAGACCCAGCAAACTCACTACACCTCTGGGTCACCAGGGGTGGGGTGGGGACATGCTCTGCAGGATGGGACCCACACCTTGGGCCATGGGGTTTGGCTGTGCTCAGGGCTGTTCCCAGCTGCTGGATGTGTCCCAGAGAGTGGCACCCATGACTGAGGTGCCATCCATCCATCCACCCCTCCTCAGAGATCCAGGAACAGGGGCCACATCCTGCCACATCCTTCTCTATCCCATAAACATTCCTGGCTCTGGATGTCACAGGGGCAAAGGGTCCAGGATGCCCAGAAAGGGCTCAGTGCCCACCATGGGTGACCCAGATCTGAGCCCCCAGCCCATGTTAGGGCTGTCCCCACACCACTGTCCCCCTGCAGAGACCTGGCTACGCTCACTGCATTCCCAGGACAGCCATCACAGGGGCCTCGTCCCTCTGGGACCCCTCCCCACCAGAGCTGAGCTACAAGTGCCCTGCAAGGGGAGGAAGACGAGGGTGGCCCACAGACAGATACAGTGTCACTGCTGAAGTCTCATTTCCTGAGAAACCAGGCTAAAAATAATCCCCTTTTCTTGCAGTTCTGTGCTCAGTTTGTGCTGCCATCTCACCACAAAGCTGGGGGGAGCCTGAAACCCCCCCACCTGGCCTCTCTTCCCCTGGGATTGAGGGAAGCTGAGGCACAGGTCCTGCTCTGCCAGGCAGGGATGTTCCTGCCC